TTCCATTCCATTCCCTTCCCCCCACCTCCTTCTCCTCCTTTGTCATCCATCCCCTGTCCTTCCTCCTTCCCCTTCCATCCTTCCATCTTCCTTTCCTTCCATTTCATCTTCCTTCCACCATCCTTCCTTCCACCATCTTCCTCCACTTCTCCATCCTCCTTCAACCACTGTCCATCCTTTCCTTCCTTTCCACTACCTTCTCCATATCCATGTCCATCCACATCCTTTCCTCTTCCTTCCTTCCTTCCACTTGTCATCATCCTTTCCACCACCTTCCATTCTCCATTTCCATTTCTGTCTTCTCCTTCCTTCCTCTCCTTCCTTCCCCTTCCACTGTCATCCTTCCATCTTCTCTTCCACCATCTTCCTCCTCCTCATCCATCCTGTCATCCACCTCCTTTCATCAGATCACCATCTCCTTCCTCCATTTTCTTCCTCCTTCCTTCCCACTGTCCTTCCATGTCCTCCATTCCTTCCTTCATCGTCCTTCCACTACCATCCACTTTCCACTACCTCCTTCCTTCCCCTGTCATCTCCTTCCTTCCTTCTCATTCCATCTTCTCCCTTCCTTCTCCTTCCATCCATCCTCTCCACTGTCCATCCTTCCAGCTGCCATCTTCCTCCTTCCCCCCACTGCCATCTTCTCCTTTCCACTGTCATCATCTCCTTCCACTTTTCTTCTCCATCTCCTGTCCATCCATCCTTCCTTCTCCTTCCATTGTCATGTCCATCCACTGTCATCCTCTCCTTCAACTGTCATCGTCCTCCTGTCCACTGTCTTCCTTCCTTCACCACCTTCCACTCACCATCTCCTTCCCCCATCATCTCCTTTCCTCCATCTCCTTCCACTGTCATCCATCCACCTTTCCACCATCCTTCTCCATTCCATGTCCTCCTCTCATGTCTTCCTCCTTCCACTGTCATCATCTCCTTTCCTGTCTTCCACTCCTTCTTCACCACTTGTCCTCATCTTTCCTTCTCCCTTCCATGTCCATCCTCTCCTTCCTTCTACCTTCCACCATCTTCTCCTTCTTCCTCCTTCCACTGTCATCCTCCTTCCTGTCATCCTCCATCCTTCCTCCTCCTTCTCCTCTCTTTCTTCCTATTCTGTCTTTGTCCTTCCTTCCTTCCTCTGTTCCTTTCCACCACCACCTTCTACTTGTCTCCTTTTCCTCACCATCTTCTCCTTCCTCCTTCCACTGCCATCCTTCACTGTCATCATCCTCCTTTCCCCCACTGCAATCTTCTCCTTCCTTCTGCCATCCATCTCCCTTCCTTTTCTCCCTTCATGTCATCCTTTCCGTTCTTCCATCCTTCCTTCCTCCACTGTCGTCATCCTCCTTCCTCTGTCCATCTTCTCCTTCCTCCACTGTCATCATCCTCCTTTCTTCCTTTCTTCTCCACTGTTTCCTTCTCCATTCCTCCTTTCCTGTCCTCCTTCCAAACTGTCATCTCCACCATCTTCTCCCTTCCACCATCTTGTCCTTTCCACCTCCTTCCTTCCACTGTCCATCTCCCTTCCACCTTCCTTCCATTCCTCCTTCCACCTTCCTCCTTCCACCATCATCCTTTCCACTGTCATCTTCCTCCTTCCACTGTGTCCTTTCCTTCTTCCTTCATGTCTTCCTCCTTCCCCACTGTCATCTCCTTCCCAACTGCCATCTTCTCCTTTCCACTCTTCTCCTTCCACTGTCATCTCCTTTCACTGCCATCTTCTCCTTTGTGTGTCGTCCTCCTTCCTGTCCTTCCTCCATCCATTATCTCCTTCCTCCTTCTCCTTCCCTGTCGTCCTGTCCACTGCCATCTTCTCATTCCTTCTACCTTCCTTCCTGCTTCTTCCTCCTTCCCACATGTCATGTCCTCCTTCTCGTTCTGTCATCCATCTCCTTCCACTGTCATCCATCTCCTTCCATCTTCTCCATCCATCTCCTTCCTCATGATCCTTTCCATCCTTGTCCTTTTCACTGTCCTCCATTCTCCTTCCTGTGTCATCCGTCCTCCTTCTCCACTGTCTTCATCTCCTTCCATGTTCCTTCCTTCACCTTCTACCACTGCCTCATTCCTCCCTTCCACTGTCCGTCCATCCTCCTTTCCTTCTGTCATCATCTGTCTTCCACTGTCCACTGCCATTTCCATCCTTCCACCTTCTCCATGTGTGTCGTCCTCTCCTCTCCCTTTTCCTCCATCCACTGTCATCCTCCTTTCCATTCGTCTTCTCCTTCCATTTTCTTCTCCATTTATTCATGTCGTCCTCCTTCCTCCTTCCTTCCACGTGTCCTCTCCATCCTGCCGTCTTCCTCCACTGTCTGTCCTTCCTTCCGTGTCGTTCCTTTCCTTCCACTGCCTCCACTCCTTCCGTTCTCCTTCGTCCTTTCCTGTCCTTCCTCCTTCCTTGTCTTCTACCTTCCTTCTCCTTCCACTGCCATCTTCTCCTTCCACTGTCGTCTCCATTCCGGCTGTCGTCATCCTTTTCTGATCTTCTCCTTCCTTCTGCCGTCTTCTCCATTCCTGTCACCTTCTCCTGTGTGTCCGTCCTTTCCGTTCTGCGTCGTGTCGGTCGTCCTCCGTTCCTTCCGTCTTCCTCCATCCACTGTCGTCGTCTCCTTTTCCTTCCTTGTCCTTTCCACGTTTCCTTCTCCGTGTCGTCCACTCTCCTTCCTCCTTCTCCATTCTGTCGTCGTCTCCGTCCATGTCGTCGTCTCCATTTCTCCTTCCATTCTCCATTTCACTGCCGTCGTCTTCCTTCTTCTCGGTCGTCGTCTCATTTCCTGCACCATCTTCTCCACTGTCGTCTCCTTTCCTTGTCCATGTCGTCTGTCGTCGTCTCCGCGGTCTTCCTTGTCCACTGTGTCATTCTCCGGCCAGTGTCGTCGTCTCTGTCTCCTGTTGTCGTCGTCGTCGTCGTCGTCGTCTTCTCCGGTGTCGTGTCGTCGTCTCCTTCCTTCGTTTTGTCTCGTGTGTCGTGTCTTCCATCGTGTCGTCGTGTCGTCCTTCCGGTGTCGTCATTCCTCCATCGTCGTCCTCCATTCTCCGGTCGTGTCGTCGGTCGTCTCGTCCTTCTCCCTTCCTGTCGTCGTCTCCATGTGGTCGGTCGTCGTGTCGGCTTTTTCCACCGTATGATGTCGATTCCCATCTGTCCTTCCATCCCTTCCCTCTCCCTTCCTTTCCTTCCACCATCTGTCCATCCTTCCTTCCTTCCTTCCTTCCACCTTCCTTCCTCCACTTCCTCCTTCCATCCTTCTTCCTTTCCCTTCCATTTCCTCCTTCCATCAATTCCTCCTTTCTCTTTCCATCCTCCTCCCTTCCTCCTTCGTCCATTCCACTGTCCTCATTCCTCCCTCATCCATCCACTTCCTTCCTCCTTCCATCCCTTCCATCCCTGCTCTCCATCCACTGTCCGTCTTCTTCATCCTTTCTTCTTCCTTCCTTCCTCTTTCATCCTTCCATCCTCCTTCCTTCCACTACCATCCATCCTTCCATCCTCCCTTCCATCCACCCATTCTCATCCTCCCTCCTTCCCTACTTCCTCCTTCCATCCTTCCACTTCCTCCTCCTCCATCCCTTCCTTCCTTCCACCTCCTTCCTTCCCAGCTGTCCATCCTTCCTTCCCTCCTCATCCATTCCTTTCCACTGTCCTCCTTCCTTCCTCCTTTTCATCCTCCTCCTTCCTTCCTTTCCTTCCTCCTCCTTCCATCCTCCTTCCTCCTTTCCTCATCCCTCCATTCCATCTTCCTTCCGTCTCCTTCCTTCCTTCTCCTTTCCTTCTGTTCTGTCATCACTCCTTCCTTCCTCCTTCCTGTCCTTCCATCTTCCTCCTTCTCCTTCATCCATTCCTCCACATCCTCATCCTCCTTCTTCCTTCTCCTTCCTCCTCCTTCCTGTCCACCATCTTCCATCCACTTCATCCACTACTTCCATTCCTCCTTCCACCATCCTTCCTTCCTTCCACCACTCCTTCTCCTTTCCCCTGTCCATCATCTCCTTCATCCATCCTTCCTCCTTCTCCTCCATTCCTCCCTTCATTCATCCTTTCTTTGTCCTCCCACCATCTCCTCCATTCCATTTCATCTTCCTTCCTTCTCCTTCCACTGTCCATCCATCTCCTTCCACTCCTTCCATTCCTCCTTCCTTCCATCTCCTGTCCATTTTCCTTTCCTTTCCACTCCTCCTTCTTCCATCCCACCATCCATCTTCCTCCTTCCACCTTTCCATCCTTCCATTCCATCTCCTTCCATGTGTTCCATCCTTCCTTCCTTCCACTGTCATCCATTCCTCCTTCCTTCCTCCCAGCTCCTCCATGTCCCTCTCCTTCCTCTTCTCCATCCTTCTGTCCTTCCAACTCCATTCCTTCCACCTCCTCCACTGTCATCCATCTCCTTTCCTTCCTCCTTCCACCTCATCCATCCTCCTCCTTCCTCCTTTCATCCTCCTCTCCTTCCACCTTCCACTCTCCACTTCCATTCCATCCACCTCCTTCCTTCCCTTCCATCCACCATTCTCCTTCCTCCTTTCCTGTCATGTCCTCCTTCAACTCTCCATCCTCCATCCCAGTGTCATCCACCTTCCACTCCATCCTTCCTCCTTCCATTTTCCTTCTCCTTCCACTGTCCTTCCTCCATCCTTCCTCCTTCCACCTTTCTCCTCCTCTCCATCCATTCCTCCATTCCTTCCATCTTCCTCCTTCCTCCACTTCATCATCATCCTTCCTCTGTCCATCCTTCCTTCCATCTCCTTCCTTCCTTCCTCCTTCATCTGTCATCATCCTATCCATTCCTTCCTCCTTCCCCTCCTTCCATTCCTCCTACCACTGTCCATCCTCCTTCCATTCTTTCATGTCCTTCTTCCTTCCTCCTCCTTTCCATTCCTCCATTCCACTCCATTCCTTCTTCCATTCTTCATGTCCATCCTTCCTCCCTATCTTCCCATTCCATTCCATTCCTTCCCATTCTCCTTCCTGTGTCATCTCCTTCCATTCCATCATCCTGTCCTTCCACCACCCATCTCTCCTTCCACTTCTCTCCACTGTCCATCCTCCTTTTCATTCTCCAGCTCCTTTCCTACCATCTTCCTCCTTTTCCCCTTCCGTCCTTCTCCATTCCTTCCTCCCTCCTTCCACTGCCTCCTTCCTCCTTCCATCGTCCTCCTGTCTCCATCTTCCTCCTTCTTCCTTCTCCTTCTTCCATCTCCATTCCACCACTGTCCTCCTTCCACTGTCATCATCCTTTCCACCCTACCCTCCATCCATCTCCTTCCACTCCTTATCCTACCTTTCCTTTTCATCTCCACATTCCTTCCTCCTTCCATCCACTGTCATCCATCTCCTTCCATGTCCATCTCCATTCCATGATCCTTCCTTCCACTGCCTTGTCCATTCCTTCTCCTTCTGTCGTCGTCTCCTCCTGTCCGTCTCCTTCTTCCTTCCTTCACCATCTTCTCCTTCCACTGTCATTTCTCCTTGTCTGTCATCTCCTTCCTGTCATCCACCTTTCCACCATCTTCGTCTTCCTTCCTCCATTCCTCCATGCCTCCTTCCTGGGATTCCTTCATCTCCTTTCTCCATTACCGTCGTCTCCCTTCCATTCTTGTCCTTCCACCTCCCTTCCATGTCGTCCTCTCCTCCATTATCCTGCCTCCTTCCACTGTCTTCATGTCCTCCATTCCTTCTCGTTTCCTGTCATCCGTCCTTTTCCTCCTTCTCCATTCTCCACCTTTCTCTTCCATCCTTTCCTTCCTGTCATGTCCTCCTTCCTCCCAGTGTGTCGTCCATCCACTGTCTTCTCCTCCACTGCCGTCTTCTCCTTGTCTTCCACTGTCCGTGTGTCGTTCATGTCATCCTCTTCCACTGCCTCCTTCCACCTGGGATCCTCCATTCCACTGTCTTCTCCTTCCGGTTTTCTTCCTCCTTCGTCGTCTCCTTCTCCTTCCATTTCGTTCCTTCCTTACCGTCTTCTCCATTCCTTTCCTTCCTGTCTCATTCCTCCATCTCCATTGCCTCCTTCTCGTTCCGCCGTGTCGTCCACTCCATCTGTCCTTCCACTGCTTTCTCCTGTCCTTCGTGTCCTCCTTCCTCCTTGTCATGTCTCATTTCCATCTCCATTCCTGTCGTCTTCTCGTGTCGTCCTTCCACTCTCCTCCTCACTGTCTGTCGTCGTCTTCTCCTTCCGCTGTCGTCTTGTCCATTCCACTGCCGTGTCGTCATTCCACTGCCTGTCGTCTTCCGTCGTGTCCATCTTTCCTTCTTTCCACTGTCGTCCTTTCTTCCCATTCCATTGTCGTCTTCTTCCTTCCATGTCCATTCTCCATTCCCCGTGTCTTCTGTCATTCCATCGTCGATCTCCCTTTCCTCACTCCCTTCCATGTCTTCTCCCTTCCCCACCCCACCTTCCCTTCCCCCACTGTCATCCATCTCCTTCCCCCACTACCATCTTCTCCCTTCCCCCGCCACCTTCTCCCTTCCCCACTTGCCATCTTCTCCCTTTCCATGTCACCCTCTTCTCCACTTCCCCCCACCTCCTTCTCCCTTCCCCACTGTCATCCATCTCCCTTTCCCCACTCCATCTTCTCCTCTCCCCACTGCCATCTTCTCCCTTCCCCACTGCCTCCTTCTCCCTTCCCCACTGTCATCATCTCCTTTCCCCACTGTCATCATCTCCCTTCCCCAAGATCACCCTTTCTCTTCCCCACTGCCACCTTCTCCCTTCCCCACTGTCATCATCTCCCGTCCCCACTGCCACCTTCTACCTTCCCCCCCACTGCCATCTTCTCCCTTCCCCATCACTCCCACCTCCTCCCCTTCCCCACTGTCATCATCTCCTTTCCCCACTGTCATCATCTCCCTTCCCAAGATCACCCTTTCTCTTCCCCATTGCCATCTTCTCCCTTCATCCATGTCATCCTCTCCCTTCCCACTGCCTCCTTCTCCCTTCCCCACTGTCATCCTCTCCCTTCCCCACTGCCATCTTCTCCCTTCCCCACTGCCTCCTTCTCCTTTCCCCACTGTCATCATCATTTTTCCCCACTGCCATCTTCTCCCTTCCCCAAGATCACCCTTTCTCTTCCCAATTGCCACCTTCTCCCTTCAACCATGTCATCCTCTCCCTTCCCCACTACCTCCTTCTCCCTTCCCCACATCCCTCTCCTTCCCCACTGCCATCTTCTCCCTTCCCCACTGCCTCCTTCTCCCCACTGTCATCATCTCCTTTCCCCACTGCCATCTTCTCCCTTCCCCACTGCCATTTTCTCCCTTCCCCACTGCCACCTTCTCCCTTCAACCATGTCATCCTCTCCCTTCCCCACTGCCTCCTTCTCCCTTCCCCACTGTCATCATCTCCTTTCCCCAAGATCACCCTTTCTCTTCCCCACTGCCACCTTCTCCCTTCCCCACTGCCATCCTCTCTCTCTCCAACTATCATTATCTCCTTTCCCACTACCTACCTTCTTCCTTCCCTCCTCCAAGCTGTCCGTTCCACACTGCCACCCTCTCTTTTTCCCACTGCCACTTTGTCCTTTCAACTGTCATCCTCTCTCTCCCCTACTGCCACCCTCTCCCTTTTACAACTACAACCTTCACCCCTCCCAATGTCAGCCACATCCTCCTCACTGAAACCTACTCACTTCCCTTTTCCTTCCTTCTTTCTCCTCCCCCTTCCTCCCACCCCTCTCCCAACCTGTCCACTCATCACTGCAACCCTCTCCTCAGCCTTCAACACTGCCACCACTCCCTTCTCTACTCCCATCCTCACTCTCCATGTACCATCCTCTCCTTCCCCACTACCAACCTTCTCCCTTCAGCATTGCCATCTACATTCCCCAATGTCACCCTCTTTCTTCCCCACTGTCTTCCTACCCTTCAATGCTCTCCTTTCTCTACTGCCATCCTCGCCCTTCCCCACTGCCTCCTTCTACCTTCCGCTCTGCCACTTTCTCCCTTCCCAAGCGTCACCACTCCCTTCCCCACTGCCACCCTCTCCCGTCTCTACTGCCATCCTCTCTCTCCAACTATCATCCTCTTCCTTCCCACTACTCGCTCGCTGACTTGGTTGACACATCTCATTGGTTCCCAACTGCGCAGATCACTGGGTTGTCTGGTCCAGACAAGATTATTTGCAGACAGCCGCCATATAGCTGAAACATTGCTGAGTGCGGCGTCAAAGTAAACTCACTCACTCCAATCATTTCTCCATCATGCATCCTTTACAATCTTGTCTTAGTCAACTATCATTTCTTGCAAAAGCAAAATAATATGAACACTTATAATATTATCTTGCATC